ATTTCTGAGTTGAACTTGGTTCAGCACTGAACTGAGTTTAAACCAACTTGGTGCATTGAAGAACGTTCTATACTGAACTGATATTAAACCAACTTAGTACATTGAACTGAGTTTAAACCAACTTGGTAGATTGAAATAAGTTCAGTACCAAACTGAGTTTAAACCTAATTGACACATCGAACTCGGTTCAGTACTGAACTGAGTTTAAATCAACTTGGTGCATTGAAATAGGTTCAGTTCCGAACTGTTTAAACCAACTTGGTAGATTGAAATAAGTTCAGTACCAAACTGAGTTTAAACCTAATTGACACATCGAACTCGGTTCAGTACTGAACTGAGTTTAAATCAACTTGGTGCATTGAAATAGGTTCAGTTCCGAACTGAGTTTAAACCAACTTGGTGCATTGAAATAGGTTCAGTACTGAACTGAGTTTCAACTAACTTAGTGCATTGAAATATGTTCAGTACCGAACTGAGTTTAAATCAACTTGGTGCATTGAAATAGGTTCAGTTCCGAACTGAGTTTAAACCAACTTGGTGCATTGAAATAGGTTCAGTACCGAACTAAGTTTAAACCTAATTGACCCATCGAGCTCGGTTCAGTACTGAACTGAGTTTCAACTAACTTGGTGCATTGAAATAGGTTCAGACCGAACTGAGGTTATACCAACTTGGTGCAAATGGCCCTAAGGTTAATAGACCAAAACATTTCACTTTTGAACTTAAGCTTTTATCCAACACATCCAATCATAAACCCTGTTTGAAAGAATTGTATTCAAATATTACACGTCTTATTATTCATTATTGAAGCTGTCAGTACAATTGTAATGTTTTACCTTAATTTTTTCACATTTAAGCTCTCTGTTTATTTATTTCCTTGCAGGATATACTTATATGTAATATTTGTAAAGCATTTCAATATGTTGATAAATTTTTATAATCATATAAAATATAAAAACTTGAAAAGATTCATACTGTTTAAAAAACAGCATTAATTTGTCTGAGGTTTGAAGGTTGTGAACATACCTCACGATTTAATTACTAAATAATGTATTAATTACTCTCCTGGGTAGTCTTCAGTTTAAAATGATTCCCTAGCTTTTTTTTTTCAAACAGCCATCATCTTTCTGTAGATTATTAGTAAAGTCTAAATTACAACGATTTCAACCGAAATAGGATAACCATAGAGACAAACTTTTCGGTTAGCTGGATAATCGGTTTGTCCATTATCCAAACGCACATAATCGACGCGGAATGTCGACGGAATGAGATAAGTCGGAGTTCCACAGTTTTCTTTTCCTGGTTGCCGCGAATTAATGACTCGAGAGGTACCAGATTCCATTTAAGGAGGAGTCAATGCCACCCTCGTCCCGTATGTCAAGGCTTTCAGGGCGAAAGGGCCTGCCTAGATGGAAGGTCATTGTCATCCCCCAATGAACATACACGAAAAAGCGGTTTTCTCTTATAATGCGGGAACCTTGCTCAGCATTCAGATAGCATTGAATAAACCGGAACACAAATTTTATAAAAAGCTTATTTTGTATTTAAGAAAACCATCAGCCATGTTATTAGCATTACTTCAATGTGGTCCTTGTTATAAGTAATTAAGATCAGTTCTACTATTTCGTAACTTTATCTTAATAAATTACCCTTTTTTTTATTTAGAAATGTTTATAATGATCACTTGTTCATCAATTCAATAACGGAATATTGGTTCGTTATGTTTCGATTAGACCTTGATTGATTCTTGAGAGAATTCAAGGAGAAGCCCTGTGATATAATCAACTCGGAGATTTCCCTCTTCCTCATTTTGCGTGATCCAATTTTTTTTTTCTCTTTCTTTAACGACAATCTCTGAAAGACAAACACTGAAATGTAAACTGACGGCAACAAGTCGCAATCCAAAAGGCGTGAATCCAACGGGACGGTAATTATAGAATAAGGTGGGTGTCCAACTCGTCGACGTTCTTGGCTTTTTTCAGCTCCCCCATATATATTTATATTCCGATTGTCTTCCGCCTCTCCACTAACCTTTGGGGAAGATGAACTAACATCTCTTTTGCAAAAAATTTTAAAATAAAATTCTTAATGTGTACTATTTAATCAACAATCAGTCTTTTTATTTACTACAATACTTCAATCCTCCTTAATGTTTATACTATTGTGATACATATAAACAATCAAAAATTGTAGTAGTTGGTAGAAAAAACTGTAGCAAATATAAAGCATGGCATATATTTATAACAAATTTATAATTTTTCCTTTTTCTGCCTTTTTTTCTACACATATAAGGTCATAGTTTAGTAGTCTCTCATGGACGATTTAATTTCTGCTAAAATGTTGCTTCTCTCTTCATAGACATCTCTCACACTTGGTGACAGGCCCTAATTCAATCAGTTTTTAGCAACACACATGCACATACGCACACAGAGATTAAAATACCTATTCTATACCTAGCCTAACTAGTTTGACAGTCTGCAGGGTACTCTGTAATCTGCTACAGGTTCATCCACACTTACCATTCATGCAAATAAATACATTCACAGATTCCTTTCAAACCGTTCGCACAATTAAAAATTGAGGAGGCACTGAAGTATTGACACTGCTGTCTCGGCCTCCTATCACACTACACACATTCACTATATAACTAGGCGTAGTTTGACAGGTCTGTGAGGTATTCTATATTCCGCCACAGACCAGTCCATTTACGCTTAACCATTCATGCAAATAAATACATTCTCACAGATTCCTTTCAAACCGTTCGCACAATTAAAAATTGAGGAGGCACTGAAGTATTGACACTGCGCTCTCGGCCTCCTATCACACTACACATTCACTATATAACTAAGCCTAGTTTGACAGGTCTGCGCGGTACTCTATATTCCGCCGCAGACATTCACACTTACCATGCTCGCAAATAAATACATTCATACCAAAAAAATACATAAAAACCAAGTGTGAGGGGTTATATATGGCCATGTGCATTTACGGGTTTTAAATATTCAATGAGTTTATAGTTATAATCACTGTTGTTCTTTAATGTTTTCTGCAAATTGTTAGGCAGGTCACACCGAGTCCCGTGCAGTTCTAGTCGTTCATACTCTTCTAAAATATGATTTACTGTCACAATCGCACCACACAGGGGACAATTCTTCGGTCTGTTTCCAACAATGATGCACTGTTGTGTCAGGCGGGTGTGGCCTATCCTTAACCGTGTAAGAATTCACAGTAGTTTTACTGATTTTAGTTTTTCGGTTTTGCCAGTCATTCCTGGTTAATCTTTTTAATATCCGCCGGACTAACCTAGGTGACCGGGTCATGCATTGTTGCTGCTTCTTTCGTCGCTTTGTCAACCTTTTATGAACTTACGTAGGCTAGTTTGAAAGTCCTGACTTTGCTGCAGTTTGGAAATTTTTTGTAATGTCCTCCATCCTCTAATAAACGCTTTATTGTAAAAATAAAAATAAAAATTTCTTCATATTTGAATATATATATATATATATATATATATATAAACTCAAAATGTCGAGCCAAAGCGTGTCTGATGTTTGAACATGAAAGAGAATGATCATTTTCATTCTGTTTCTAGTTTTCCAATTATAATCGTACCATTCTGAATGCAATATTTATTATTGTTTAGTTTTTTCATATGATTATCTTTCCACGGTGTATAGTTTTCACAAGACCTTCACGTACCTTTAGACATATTAAGGTCGGCCTCGTCTCCTATTGAATATTTTACTAATGTCTTAATGCTTCAGATTATCCAATAAACTAGTTGGACGCAAATCTAACATGTCTACAAAAATTAACTGACGTTACAAAACACTACAGAAACCGATTTAGAGATGTGGAGTGGAGCAACACTCTTTTTTATGAGGGCATTTCAACTATGAGGTTATATGAACCCTCGGGGTGTCGGTTTTTTTGAAAAAAGCCCATTTGTAAGTACATCAGGTTCAAGTGAGGGCCGCTAGATTCGAACCTTAGTGATGAGCGCTTTGTCAATGCCTAAACCGTTGAGGCCACCGACACCCCCAAAATACCCTTTGTAAATAAATTAATCCTCACCGAATTTTCTAAAATCCAAGGTAAACTCTCCACTCACCCCCAACTCATGTCCATCATAATCCCGTCAGATGACTAAAACAGAGATGGGACCTTCTCGCCAAGGAGCCTACCCTTAAGGAAAGGAGTAAAGCTGGGAGGACAACAAAGACTGTTAACTCCCCTCAAGACTTGACTGTGTCAGTTTATTGTAAATACGTATGAAAAAATCCATAAAAGTGCAAAATGTTTTATTAATAATACAGATGGTAATAAATAATTAAATCTTCGTGGTCTTATGAGTTGTCTAACTGTATACTAGTGTATTTTAATTTTACACAGCTCCATCGAAATATTAGTTCGATCGTATCCGATACTGGTCTGCCTATCCTCACAGGTTTAGTTGGTGAATTTGGTGACCACAACGGTTAAGGCATTGACATGGCACTGATCACTGAAAGGTAAAGATCCAGTGGTCCTGCATTCGAACCCGACAAATGGGTTTTTCTCTCTTTTTTTTCTAGAAACACTGACACCCTGAGGGTTGATATAATGTAGTTGAAATATCCTCGTTTCCAGCAGTTTTTATTTTGTTTTGATAGCTTTCAGACCAACACTCACCCTTCTTCAGTCCTTACTCTCCCACAGAGGACAGAAGACTGAGGAGGGGCCGAATGTTGATCAGAAAACCATCAAAACAAAATAAAAACTGCTGTAAAATAAAGAGTATTTATCAAAAAACACCTTCATGCAGAACAAATAATATTGTATATACAAATTTTAAACCTACTTATCAAAAGAATCCAATAATAATCATCGAAAATTTGCGTGAATAGAAGTTTTATAAATAAACGATAACTATGTCATAATTTTTTTTTAACAATGTAAAAATTCTCGATTGAAATTATTGTTTAGAATTTAAAACTACAACTTTGGCTTTTATTCTCTTTTAGGTTTTCCTGGATCATCGAACTTCAGATGAAGTGCTCAAGTTAATTGCTACCAAGACAAATGGAGCTACTCCTCTAGTCATGGCTTGTAGGAACGGGCATTACGATGTAGTCGAGTATTTAGTCGATGTATGTTGTGCAGATTTGGAACAACCTGGTTCAGGTAAAAAATAAAATAATAATAAAAAACAGTTCAATCAAAACATCTTTAAGATTACATTGTAAAAGAATTATTCATTTTCAGTGGTTTTTGATGGAGAAACGATTGAGGGAGCTCCACCGCTATGGTGTGCAGCTGCAGCCGGTCATTATGCAGTTGTTAATTTCTTGGTGAAACGAGGTGCATATGTCAACTCCACAACAAAAACAAACTCGACGCCGCTTCGAGCCGCTTGTTTTGATGGACACTTTGCTATAGTCAAATTTCTTGTTGAAAAGGGTGCAGGTAATGTACAAACATATAATTACCAAATATAAATAATATTGTAGCCGAATCAGTTTTAAAATGAAAGTATATCTTTTATTCCTAGAGAAATTAAAATATCCTTTGGAATGTGACTGCCTCAAACTCTCCGAAAAACTAATTAATCCAAAGGCATTGGCCTAACAGAAAACTTGGCCAGAAGGGCAAAAGCTTCACATTGACAAAAAAAAAATTGGAAAGCAAAAACAAATTTTACGTATCTTTCCAACATCCTTGACCTTAACAATCAATTTTATTTACAAAAAGTAACATAAACTCAAATATAAATCAAATCAAATAAATTAAAAACAAAAAACAAAAACTGCTGCTTGCAAAAAAAAAAGGATTTTCAGTAACAGACAATTTTGCACAAGCTGAATGAGGTTCCAAAACATGCAGTCCTTCTACAATCCAGGTCCAGAAGAGATTTGAGAGTCCATTGTTGGGGCAGGGCCCTGAGTTGATGATGCCCGAGAGCTGCTACAATTACACGATAGCTTCGATTTAAAATAATAAACATGCACATTTAAAGTAAAAATGTGGAAATATATTGCAATTACGTAGTAAGTAAAGTGATATTCTGGAAGACTTAACACCCAACTACCCATTGGGTATCACAGACGAGGACTCAAACCAAGTTACATTTTTCTTACTATAATAAATAAAACCATGGTCTCTGTCGGGGTTCGAACCTATAACCTCTAGCATGGCAAATACTATCAGACACCTTAACTACTTGGCCATCGTAGCCCATGCAATACATTGATAAATAGTATTAAAAAAATTATAAATTTTTTAACATAGACAAAAAATGAGATGAATATAAATATTTAATATCCCGCTCGTGCCATTGTCTTTTTTTATCTCAACTAAAAACCTTAATTAATTGTAATATATTAATTGGTCAAGCGGACCACGAAATTAGTGAATTTAATAAATATTTAATTTAAACAGTTATTTAAATAATCACAAGTGTATTTTGCTTACTGTTTTAGATATTGAAGTTTCTAATAGACATGGTCATACTTGCCTTATGATAGCTTGCTACAAGGGACATTATCAAATTGCTCATTATCTCCTTGGACTTGGGGCAAACGTTAACAGAAAATCTGTTAAAGGTAATACAGCTCTCCATGACTGTGCTGAAAGCGGCTCGCTCAACATACTCAAAATGTTAGTTGATCATGGAGCGAAAATGGATGTAGATTCATATGGTATGTATTTATTATAAAATAATAATTATAGAAGTTATAAAATAAATTAAAAATTATTTGTAACATAATTACTCGTAGGAATGACTCCATTATTAGCTGCAAGTGTTACCGGACATGGTCACATCGTTGAGTACCTGATTCAACTTCCTGAAATCGTTTCTAGACAGGAAAGCATCGATGCACTAGAGCTTCTAGGTGCTACTTATGTTGATAAAAGAAGAGATATGATCGGAGCTCTTGATCTTTGGAAACGAGCAATGGCTATCAGGTGGGTTTTTTGCATGTGCACATGTACTTGTTTAATTATGAGATATGTCAATACTTATTTACTGTCCAATACTGTAATTATAATTATTAAATTCACTAGTTCGTGGTCCGCTTGACCAATTAATATCTTACAATTAATTAAGGTTTTCAGTTGAGATAAAGTCATCAATGGCACGAGCAGGATTCGAACCCACGATCTTCGGCTTGTTACGCCGCTGCTCTACCACTGGAGCTATCGTGACCTCGATCCACTTGGACACTAACTTCCCATCTGAACCAAAAACCGTGTGGTTGAGATAGGATGTTAGTGTCTGAGTGGATCGAAGTCATGATAGCTCAAGCGGTAGAGTAGCAGCATATCTAGCCGAAGGACGTGGGTTCGAATCCCACTCATGACACTGACTTTTTTTTATCTCAACTAAAAAACCTTAATTAATTGAAAGATATTAATTGGTCAAGCAGACCACAAAATTAGTGAATTTAATGATTAAAAATGAAGTATATATTCACTAAAGCTCTCTGTGGCCATTTCATTTGTCGCCAAGAATTGAATCCTAATTACACGACATTTGAAAAATGGCAAAAAGGCGGGAAAATTCAAAAGGTGGGGTTGAGATGGGAAGTTGGTGTCCGAGTGGATCGAGGTCACAATAGCTCAAGTGGTAGAGCAGCGGCGTATCAAGCCGAAGATCGTGGGTTCGAATCCCGCTCGTGCCATTAACTTTTTTATCTCAACTAAAAACCTTAATTAATTGTAATTTGTTAATAATACGTACCCGAATTCATGAGCCGATCTACCAAAAATAGTAGTAGAACACAAAACACTTTTATGACAACGTGGAAAATATTTTCTGATAGACCTGAAGTCTACATAAAAGCATAACACTAGAAATGGATCACAACAACACGAACTTCACATCATCACTATTACACAAATTAACAGCAAATGAATTAAGTTAATCTGACGAGCTGACGCAAACTACTCAAACATACACAAAATACCAGCAAAGTCACGGAGGACAAACTAAAATCAGTAACGTTAATTAATGAAAAATGTAAACTGAAAGTACAAACGATAAAAAAACTATTTCAAGGACAAACCTTTTTGGTAAATCAGTTAATTAAGGTTTTAAGTTGAGATAAAAAAAGTCAGTGTCACGAGCGGGTTTCGAACCCATGTTTGAAAAATGGCAAAAAGGAGGGAAAATTCAAAAGATGGGGTTGAGATGGGAAGTTAATGTCCGAGTGGATCGAGGTCACGATAGCTCAAGTGGTAGAGCAGCGGCGTATCAAGCCGAAGATCGTGGGTTCGAATCCCGCTCGTGACACTGACTTTTTTNCGTGGCCATTTCATTTGTTGTCGAGAATCCAAACCGATTACACGACATTTGAAAAATGGCAAAAAGGTGGGAAAATTCAAAAGGTGGGGTTGAGATGGGAAGTTGGTGTCCGAGGGGATCGAGGTCACCATAGCTCAAGTGGTAGAGCAGCGGCGTATCAAGCCGAAGATCGTGGGTTCGAATCCCGCTCGTGACACTGACTTTTTTATCTCAACTGAAAACCTTAATTAACTGTAATTATAACTGATAATCACGCTAAACTTGGTTATTTTACAGATATGCCCCTGATTTACCACCTTTACCTAAACCAGTTCAAGCAGTTACAGTCGAAGCATATGAACACTCGAGAGAAATGAGGACTGCTGAAGAATTGGATAACTTATTAGCTGATCCTGATGAAATGCGAATGCAAGCTCTTCTTATTAGAGAAAGGATTTTAGGCCCTGCTCATCCCGATACAAGTTATTACGTCAGGTACACTTGTAAAGCTTTCTTTTTAACATAAGTTTTTACAATATAAATTCATTCAATAGGTACCGAGGAGCAGTATATGCTGATGCAGGAAAATTTTCACGTTGTATATCACTCTGGTCATACGCACTTGATATGCAACAAGCAATGTTAGAACCTCTGAACCCGATGACCCAGTCTTCACTGTTCTCTTTTACGGAATTGTTTTCATTTATGATGGGAGAAGAGGGTAATTAATAAATTTCTCACTTGAGTGATAATAATGTAAATAATCAATCTTGCTTTTTTAACAGGAAGATCGAGCGGACGTGGAAGGAGAGTACCAGTGGTATCGTTTGACGACATGATACAAGTTTTGGAAAAAGCCGTTAAAGAAGTCAGAGCCGGTCTAGGATTATCTCCAACACCAGTACCTACAAATTGTTATAGCAATTTAGATCCGTTGGGTGCTGGTAACAACAAGCAGTCTGAATCCAATTACCTTCACAGGGTGATGGTTATCGCCTTGCACCTAGCTTGTCTTACAATCAAATCACTCAGCAGTACACCCAGCAACAGTGAAAATTGGCATAAGGCTCATTCAATATTATACCAGTTTGTAAGTCTCAACCCAAGGGGACGAGGAGGACAGACTCCGTTACACCTTGCATGTAGTGAAGATGCTGGTCTTGTTGGAAGGTGAGTGTAAGAAGTGACTAGGTTGATTTTTTTCTTTTTTACGTACATAATAAATAAACATACATTTGTATTTTTGTCCTTGAAATATGTTGTTTTATATTTCAGATATCCTGCATGCAGATTCCCTTCTGTAGCACTTGTTGAATCTCTTCTGAAAGTTGGAGCAGATCCGAATGCCCTGGATGACAATGGGTCTACACCGTTACACATTGTTGGTAAAGCTGATCCTCTACCATCACAAAAATTAGTCAAATCCTTATTAGACCACGGTGCCCATTTTGATGCCATTGACAGTTTTGGAAAGAATTTTAGTCATCTCCTTCACCCTGAAGTACCTCTATGTAAAATTGTCAATCCTCTAAGGCATACAACGCTCGCATGCCTTGCGGCTCAAGCGATCAGGCTATACAGGGTTCCTTTTGCAGGCCAAATCCCAAGGCATCTAGAGCCGTTTGTGCTCCAGCACTGATTCTTCCTCCCTTCATCATGTACAGTCACCCTACCCTCGATTTGTCCTCTCCCTTTATATTTATATGAATCGTCATATAATTTTTGTTTTACCTCACTCGCGGCGTCTGACCTTGGAAGAAAAGAAAGAAAGAAACTGAAACAGCCCCAGGAAAATCTCTGTGACACACTTGTTCCCTTTTGTTGTCATTGCTTATGATTTGCATTTTTCTTGTTTTTGGGAAAAGAAGATGATCTATAACCATAGAAAATAAAACGAAGAAACCCTTGATGTGATTTTTTTTTAACATATTTTATTTTTTCCTTTGTGAAAAAAGTTTTGTGTTGGCTTATTACATTTATTTGTGATCTATACTAATATTTTGATGTAATATGCAATGTTGGTAAATGGATTTTTTTCTTTCTTTTTTTATTTTGTCAGTAGGTGTTTAAGAGGAGGGAAGAATGAAAATTTTAAAACTTGTGATACATTTTCTCTATTTTTGTGGTGATTTTTTACTTATTATTAAAGAGAAGAGCTATTTTTCTTTTTTCTTGTTTTTTTTTTCAAAATATATGTTTATCGTGTGATATTAAGATTCAATTCGCCTGTAGCAAAGTTTAAGCTGTCAGAATATTTCAAGCTTAGTTTTATCAATATTTCAACTTGTGAATTGATTTTTTTATCCTTCTTTCCTTAATGGTGTTTAGTTTTGTAAACTAGTCATTTTAAGGAAGTATGGATTGTTTGTTTTTCATATAGCAAACAAATGTTCAAATTTAAAATATTATTGGATAATAATTAAGCGTATCCATGATACAAACAGCTAGAACATTGTGATTGATGCCTTTAATAACACAAATATTGTAACAACCAAAAAGAAAAAAAGCTTCTTCTTATAATAAAATAATTTTGTATATTTTAATGTAGTATGAATATTAAATAATTAAATTAAATGAGATTTTATGTGTCACTTTGAAATTAAAACAATTAAAATAGTTTGGCTAGATTGTGTGACATATTAAACAAGGAAAAAATTATATTTTATTAAAAAATATTTTTTTTAAATATTCAGATTGTTTGATGTCACATAGGATTTTTCAGTGATGTTCACGTCATTCTGAATGAAGGAACTGTCATTGATTAATAACAATATTAAAAAAATATATATAAATAAAAGATGTAAAAATATAAAATAAAACCTGTGAACAAAATTGTTTTAATTCAAATGTATGTTTAATGTGATTTTTGTCTATACAGTGTACCCATGTCCTATTTATTTCTATAACTAACATAGATATACTTTTAACTTCAAAATGAAACCAAAATAAAATTCATGAATTTTACAAATTTAAAGGATGCAATTTTTTTTATTAAACCCTCTCTAACGGACTCTGGAATTTTGGTGTATATTTCAAACTACACGTATTTTTATCGTTATGTTAATTACAACATACTTATTTTTAATGTAAACCAAATGTTTAATTTGGTTTACATATTACTGAAGATGGCCTGCGCCTTAAGACGGCAAAATAACAAAACACATTTGAGTAGTTCAACAAACCACAAGTGAAGACAGTCCCGATAAGCGATCCAGTTCATCATAATTTCACAGGCCAACTTCTTATCATTTTTGCGTAAATTCAATTTTTGACATGCTTATCTATATATTGCACACATATATAATGATAAAATCAACTGTTCTTAAATATTGAAAATGTAAGCCGGTCCCTGTCTTATAAATTTTAGTGGTTAAAGTAAGGGCAAAAAATTAGTTTAAACAACCAAAGGAAACAGCCTGGTATACAATAAAATAGCATTGCTAAACGTTAGTATCCTCACAAAAAAATACTGGAAAAAGAAAAAATCCCTCCCTTTTAAAAGCGTATTTGGAAACAGTGAAGTTCAATTTTATTTTATATAAACACGACATTTTGCCTACATATGAATTGGAATTTGAATCTTTTTGTGCCGAATTGAGTGTTACATCGCTGAGGGATTACTCCCAGGTCCCTTCGGCGTCTGTGAATTCAATGTTTCTTTGTGACGTTTTGTCTTTATACCCATCTCCATACCTTATATTCATGAACGGATCAAAAACGGAGGTTGGAGTGGGATGCGCCTGGTACGATCCACAGAAAAACAAATTCGAAAAATATAAACTTCCTCCAGAGTTCAGTATATATTCTTTTGAACTTTTCGGCATCTTTAAGGCAGTAGAGTATGTACACGAAGATGTAAAAAGCGAATCATTTTAATTTTGTCAGACTCAAAAAGTTCCTAGGAGAGTCTGAAGAATTTTAACCTTAATTCAGATAACAACTATCTTGTATCATGGATAATTAAAAAGGTCCTCGACGTTAAATCGTCAAAAGGAGTGAATATACGATTCTTATGGACGCATGGTCACTCCGGCATCGGGGTAACTCTAAAGTAGACAGTTTGGCAAGAGAGTCCGTACTAGATGGTATAGTATCTCCTATCACCCTCCCTTTGCAAGATGCAAAAAGTGCAATTAAGATCCAAAATTGGATAAAGTGGCAGAAGTATAGTGAAAGTATACAAACCGGAAAATTCTACACTTCTATAAAACCTCAGTTGTCCAAAAAGCCTTGGTCTCAAAATGTTCCATTTTCCAAGAGGGATATCACAATTATAAATAGGCTTAGGTCTGATCATGGAATTTGTGGAATTTACCTTCATAAAATAAATCAAAAGCAGAATGATCAATGTAAATTCTGCAAAATCCCTGAGGACTTAGAACATAAGATCATGATCTGTCCAGGGTACTTAACTGAGAGGAATTATTTTTTGGATAAGTTATACGGTATGAAGGAAGTGGCCAAACCCATAAACTATAAGTCTCTTTTAGCCTTGAACAACAGTGTAATATATCGACTCGTTCGTAGATTTTGTTTATAGGTGTAACATGAAAATTTGAAATGAGTCCCTTGCCCTTAACTAGGGAGGGCTGTGTCCATCAGGGGCTGGGCGCGGCTGGCTTGTCTGCGGTGGGTGGGGTTAGTAGGGCTCCCTGAGCAAGTTTGGCTCCGGGGGATTGGGTGATGTGGACTTTTACACATATCTCGATGTAAGGTTTTTATCCACATCTTCAAAACGGTCCCTCGAAATGGATTTAAAATTAGGCCTTTAAGATTGAGAATATGAGAGGAGAGCCCTATCATTCCCTGTCCGTTCGCTGCAGCCGGGTTGGTGGCGTCTGGCTACTGGTGGATGCCCAGCCCTCAAAATCGGCCTCTCTCTCTCTCTCTCTCTCTCTCTCTCTCTCTCTCTCTCTCTCTCTCTCTCTCTCTCTCTCTCTCTCTCTCTCTCTGTCAAAAAAAAAAAAAAAAACGATAGGAAAAAAGGCTGTATGTAAATCATAAGAAGCGACGATCACCCAGACACGAATAACCTGACATCTACCACGAATCTGGGAAACATACCTGCAATAATTAAGCAGTTGGTCGAAGGGTGTCATAGCGCAGAATGGAGCGATGTGACTTTCCTTACAAACCAGGGAAACAGCACTGCAATAATTACTATAATAATATAATTGGTCAAATAAATAAAGGCGTCGAAGGGTAACAGTCCAAGATGGGAGCCGTAGGATGTTTCCTAGAAACCTGGAAAACATAAAGATGAAGTAGTAGCACAACTGATCAAATAACTAGCGTTGAGTTGCTAAAAGGTTGTTTTAAGGCCAAAAAAAAGTAGCTACGTGACATAAATTGGGGTCGCGTCAACCTGGTGCGAGACACCCGTCTTCGCTGGTCTACCCTTGATGTAGGAATTCTCCCTGTGACTTGATTTTCCTTTCCACACTACTGTAGAGAAACTAGTGTAAATAGGGATGATTTGGAAATCAAAAGCCAGTCGAGCCAATACCAAAGACCTCAGGCTCTCTTCAGACTCAGTCACAAATAATATAAAATAAATATAATAAACTCCAGACCTTTTTAAAAAAGATGGTTCCTCCTCACATTAAGTTAGTACTTAAGTTCCTATTATTAATTACTAAGTTCCTACGTAATGTGAGTTTTTTTTAAAAAGGATTGAACGCCACACTCACCCCATCTTTTATAATTTCTATAAACTCCAGATGTCAATCCAGAACAGAAGTAGCCACAGTTAAATTACTGAGGAGAGGTGGAATCGTCAGGACTTATCTGGCTGTAGCTGATGCGTTGAAGGATCGATTTGGCAACCCACAAAATTTTTAACACTTCAAGAAGTTGCTGCAAGTAGTTGAGTAACGCGCAAATGAGTGTTCACAATTTGGCAGATCGTTGTAGTGGCTTAGGAGCAAAGATGGGATCTGGGTGACTAGTGAAGAATCATATTATTATTATCATATATCGTAATTCTTGCTGGACACAAAGATTGTTCAAGCATTCTTCCGAAGGCTCAAGGGAGAAATAGGAAAACAAGTCATCATTGACTTAACACTCTGAAAGATGCGTTGGAAATAGAGCAGACCTTATCAAAAAGACAAGAGATCCAGAGAGAAATATTCAGAGTCGGTGAAGACAGCAAACAAAAAAAGGACAACCGCAAGTTGGGAAGAGTTCAGGATCGCTGAACACCACATGCCTTGGAAAAACGAGTGCCAGCTTGTTTTAGGTGTGCTAAGCGAGGACATTTTTACTGAGAATGATCTGTGGTACAAAAAGAAAGGGAGTTTGCTGAGTATTGGGTACAAATAAATCGCAAACTAAGCGCTGTCATCCTGGAAATGGTATGATAGAGAGGCTTCATAGAACCCTCAAGGATTCCATGGCTCATTTCATCCACATGATGGAGAGATTGGGATAGATGGGTGCTGTATGCTTTAATAGCCAATGAGCTCTGCCACACTCATCAACTGGACATTCTCCAAACTATATCCTCTATGAAAGAGAAATGATGCCTCCTTCAGAGAGCCTGGTAAGACCCCCCATTGTACAGTTACATATGTATCTAAGAGACGCTCGGGAACGCATGGATCAAACCTGGAGGCCAAGAACGGCACAATGCAATAAACAAAAGAAACCATGGACTCTGGCTATCGGAGAAATGGTATTCTTGCATGCGCCACCAGTCAAACTGGGCCACTGCAAGAAATTCCACTGCCCTTAGTGTCCCTCATTTGGTAATTGACCATTACTAATTACCACTACCATAACTAATTATTGACCATTACTTACAGGTTTAAATTGGTCAGAGGACAAACTTGTGGTACACGTGAACCAGCTGTTGTTGGAAGTACCGAAGAGGAACCCTCAGAGAACAAAACCCAGGCTATAACAGGAATCAGGAGCAGAACTCTGGCCCGACAGAAGATGGAGACTTGGACAAAGAATATTTGGGAACCCGAGTGGAAGTGGACGGGTCCCGCAATGAGGAACCCCTTGAAAAACAGTAAGACCGCAGCCTCTTGTCCAACGCAGAATTTTGACAGAAAGCGTCCACCATTTTCCCAGACATGGAGACTTTCTTTGTGACCTTGTGAAGAGTTTCATTAATCTCCCTATTTTCAGTTCACAAACAGAAACCTGGGGAGTGATTTTGTTTCCGCTTGGACAAAAAATATTGAGGGAGTCTGAGCAGTTTTTTGATAAAGAACCTCTGCACCCTCTCTATTTCCTCATACTCTTCCCATCCCCATACTTGGGCTCCATAGCAAATCACAGATCTATAGGCTGTATTAAACAACTTCACCTTTACTGAGCAACTTATATAGTTGTTTGCTGGCGCCACATTATATTTAAGCCCATTTTAATTTATGCTGACTTTTCTGTAAAGTGTTTGGTTAAGGACAACGTGTGTGTAAGGCTGATCCCTAAGTATTTGTACTCATCAACCACCTCAATGCATTCTTTACCCAGATGCTACTTCTCGTTTGACGCTGGTCTGCCTCCATTCCTAAACATCATCACTTTCGATTTTTCAAGAGTGATTTTTTAAGTTCCAGTTTTTGCAGTAGTTATGTAGTGAGTTGACCATTCCTTGCAGTGTATACGGGTTGGAAGCTAGTAGTACCAGGTCATCTGCATATGCGAGCAATTTAACCTTACCACCACTTTCAAGACATATTCCACCATCTAGCTGGCTCTCTAGATCATTTAGGTACAGAGAGAATAACGTGGGACTGAGGAGGCAGCCCTGCCTTACTCCCATTTCGGTTTGGAATTCCTGTGTAAGGCCGTTTACGCACCAAACGTTAGCCACAGTAAGCAGGTTTTTTATTGAGTTTATAATTTTTTGTTGCCTCTACTAAAGATACTGACAGCAGTGAAGTATGCATCTTTAGATCAGTAAAACCAATACTGGTTTTTGATAGGTTTTTGCACCTATCAAATGTTAATGCCTCTGAATCGGAATTCAGAAGACATCGAAGATGAGGAATTATATCGTAATCCAAAGAGTTGCTCAACTATGAAAGAAAACAGATGGAAAATAGACGAAATGAAATGGAGAAATTCCAGGCATATAATTCAAAAAAATCCTGATTTCCCTTATTTTTATTTAATATGCTTTTTATAAAGTTTCTAAACACTCTTGGCACTAATAAGAACAAATTTTGAAATTTTCAGCGAAACTGGTTCAGTAGTTTATGCATGCAGATAGATTTGTGTTATTTTTGGAAGATGCCAAATGACAAAAAAAGTAAATTTATTTCAGCTAGCACCAAGTAGAAAGTAAACCACCCACGTTATTAGCCAAAACATGATGACAAATGTAATCACGCAGAGTATGAAGAAACTGTTACTTGTCGTTGTCTTTCTGCAGGCCAATGTAGGAGATGTGATTTCAGTTTCATTCACGCTTTCAAATGGTTTGGGAAACCCTAGGAAAGAAGAATTTATTTATTTATATTATATTCATTTGTGTACATATGTCACCTTTTAGTGAAAGAGTCTCAAACAGCCGGAAGACACTTCCAAAGCCTGGGTACCACGTTTCATCATGCAGATGTGGATAAATCTTAAATATTTTACATTATTTTATTATTTAAAATAGCAAACGATGGTACATTTTATACTTCACTAATAAGCCATTTGTGAAAGTTGAGGTTAAACGTATGGAGACTGGGTGATGTAGCACAGATTATATCTTTGTTCAAATCATTCGGTGACAATAGGCAGTGTGTTACCCCAGAGTAATACCTTGAAGATTGTCTTTGACTTATAAACATGAGAAGATTAAAACAAAATCAAACCTGAGCAAAATATCTGAAGATTTGTTAGTGAACAGACTGTATAATGTTTTGTCCTTAAGTGGAATTGCTATTGCACTTGGATGCTGTGCATCATCTAAATATGGCATCGCAATCGTAACGGATTTTTGTTTGATCTTTCGAAAAGCTGAAATAAAAGTATGATACCGTTATTACATTAATGTTATGACTTGGCAAAGTGGTTAATTGTTTGATGTTCTGAGGTTTAAAAGGTGAGTAAACTGTAAATTTATCATTCTGATCTGCCTATTTGTACTGGTATGTACCAAATTGTGAAATGCTAAAACATGTCTGACAAATAAATTCAGCATGAATACTATTAGCTATTTGATGTCCGAGTGGATCGAGGTCACAATAGCTCAGGTGGTAGAGCAGCGGCGTATCTAGCCGAAGGTCGTGGGTTCGAATCCCTCTCGTGCCATTAACTTTTTTTCATCTCAACTAAAAACCTTAATTAATTGGTCAAGCGGACCACGAAAATAGTGAATTATTAATAAATAATTTTTGTTAGGATTAAAAAATGATTATCGTTTTCCCTGGCATAGTGATTTCTAATAGCCATTTTATTTATTTATTTTTTTAAATTAACTAGAGGAACCAAAGTAGCAATAATTTTTTTTTCAATATTAAAAAAAAATTATTGCCTTGGTTATTCTAGTTAATTTTTTTATTAAAGTTATAAGTTACTATGGCAGGAAATATGATAATCATGTTTTAATCCCAACAATCCCAATTTTGGGGGCCGCGGTAGCCGAGTGGTTAAGCCGTCAGACTCTCGGCTAGTAGATCCCACGGTCGTGGGTTCGATCCCCACCGTCGCCTCTGGACTTTTTCTGACGCCTAAGGGGACCGGTGGCCGCAATTGAAAGAAATTGACACGGCACTCATCAATGGAAGGGGCGGGATTGGATCTCAGCGACCCTGAATTTGGTCCCGACCCCCTTCAAAAATGAGTTTCTTCGATGGAAAAACACCGGCACAACGGGGGTTCAAGTTCACATTTGTTGTGAGCCCCCCCCCCAAAAAAAAAAAAAATATGGAGCCAGGGATAAAATAAAATAAGCTGTACAGCTCAGCTGCAGTGCTCAGGAGGGAACTCCTCCAGTCCCTGGTATCTATTGAAAAAAAAAAAAATCCCAACAAAAATTATTTTTACATTGTGTATCATAAATTTAAATATGAATTTTTCTAAAACAGATTTTTTTAAATCAATAAAAAATGGTTGAAAGTTGGTGGCAAAATGTCTATTCAGCAAACAGGCAGGTGGTTGTAGATAAACAACATTAGGATTAAAATTAAGAGTAGTAGCCAGCCTTTTTATGATGATGATCTCTGTTGTCTAGAACTCCTCATTGAGCATAAGGCTTTTTACCAGATCCCAAAGCTTTTTTTCAAGGACTCGCATATAAATCCTTCAGGCTTGAGCTTTTCCTTTCCCACGAGTAAGAATCTCGGCCTACATAAGCCTTCCCCTCAACAAAGGACATGTTATCTTCTTTTCCTGGCAATATCTACACAGGTTTGTTTCCACCGCTCTGAGTCTATACATACGCCTAGTTTGCAATGTCCAGTTAACAGTTCAACTATTATTCTTTAGTTTCTGCTATGGTTCTTTGATAAAATTTTTCTCATGGCTCTTTCTCCTGGGTTACATCACATTGAACGAACTTATTTTTAAAACTTTGGACAGATCCGAAATTTTGGCAGTTTGGTATGCCACAAAAGGGTTCAGGGCCAATAGGTGTCCTCACCAAACTTTCCTTGGCCTTCCTCCCTGGTACCTAGACAATAGTAATCTTGTGTGCAATCCCAAATGACTTTACCAGTACAGTAATTACCCTCAACACCACCTGGCTGTCCTAGTAGATGGTCCTAGTCCTGGTAGATGACTATTTTAATCTCCTTGGCACAGTGTTCAATAGTCACAATCACCGCTTGAAAGAGGGTGGCATATTCCCAAGGCTATGAATTCTAGTCATTGGTTTATTTCTGCATTAACTTGGATCCATTTTCCCAGTGTTCTCTACTATATATTTTTATTTTTTTGTCAAATCTGAATTTAGGGGGTTATGGCATCAATAAGCTTGTTATTCCAAGGCAGCAGTGGGGGTCGTTCTCATTGCCCCAAAGATGCTCAGGCTAGTCTCCGAGTAGTAATATAAGGAACGACCACTTTGGATCATGGATTTGAACCAAACTGTTTTTTAGTGATTCCAAAATATCGGACACGTATCCATGACAAACAATTTTATTTGTATATTTTCGTACAAAAATAGGAATGTTTGATGTTAAATTTTTTAGCTATTTTTGAATTACAGCCATATAAATCAGATATTCCGATGACTTCTTAAAAATAAAAAAATTGATAATATGTGGTTGATTAATGACCATTAGTCGATGATTATTCGGAAATCATGAGATGCGGTCTGGTGTGATGTAGGTTTCAGAAAAACATTTTCTTTATCGTGCCAACATTTCGACCTTTATTAAGATCATCTTCAGGGCCTGGGACGGCCATATCCTACATGTATTTGTTAAATGTAAACAATGTTTGTAAATCCCAGGCCCTGAAGATGATCTCAATAAAGATTGAAACGTTGGCACGATAAAGAAAATGTTTTTCTGAAACCTACATCACACCAGACCGCATCTCACGATTTCCGAATAATAAAAATTGATAATTTTAAATTCAAACAATAATTTATATTTATGGCTTTCCATAGGTCTAAACAGAAATTTCATTAGTGTGGTTGAGGTGGGAGGTTGGTGTCCGAGTGGATCGAGGTCACGATAGCTCAAGTGGTAGAGCAGCGGCATATCAAGCCGAAGGTCGTGGGTTCGAATCCTGCTTGTGCCATTGACTTTTTTATCTCAACTGAAAACCTTAATTAATTGTACGATATTAATCGGTCAAACGGACCACGAAATTAGTGAATTTAATAAATTTCATTAGTTTCACAGAAAACAAAAATTTATGACCTACTAATTTACTCAAAAATTTTTTTTGTTTTAGGAAGCTTTTCTTTTTTTCCACTGATAAACTTTGATAGCTATTACTATATTTTTATTGCACTCTACATAAAAAATGCTGTAAAGTGATATATTCATATAGATGATTGGGGCAAGTATTAAGGCAAAATAAAAACATTAAAATACGGAAAATTTCAATTTAAAAAAAAAAAAAAAAAAAGGCAAAACCAGGGTCTATTCACAAGAAGTGGCAAATATATTTTGGAGTGTGGAATCACCAAAAAAAGTTGGTTCCAAATCCGTGACCCACTGACATAGTTGTCCCCTTGTTAATCCAACAAACCACTGATTCATAGGTTACCATGTAGATATAGAACATGTATTCTATTTTTAAGACAAAGCCCATGTATCTGGCATGTAGAGAAAGGTTGCTGTATGTTCCATTTAATTGAAGGGTTGCTTGGCATGTATTGATGTATTGATGCAAAATAAATGCAGGTTTTCCTTTTCGCTTTTTTAATACTAACTATATAATCAAACATGACAATTAATTAAGGTTTTTGGTTGAGATGAAAAGAAGTTAATGGCACGAGAGGGATTCGAACCCACGACCTTCGGCTAGATACGCTGGGGTTGAGATGGGGAGTTGATGTCCGAGTGGATCGAGATCACGATAGCTCAGGTGGTAAAGCAGCGGCGTATCTAGCCTAAGGTCGTGGGTTCGAATCCGTCTCGTGCCATTAACTTTTTTTCATCTCAACCAAAAACCTTAATTGTCATGTATTAATTGGTCAAGCGGACCACGAAAGTAGTGAATTTATATAATCAAAATTAATCCATTATGCTAAGGGTTACACATCATTTTAAAGCCTATTTATTTCGATTTCTTTCTCTTATAATCCTTTTAGTAAAAATATTTAATTCAGTCTGTTGAATGCCTTCAAACAAAATGATGTCTGAGAGCGATTTTTGTCAAATTTATTTCTATGAATTTAAACATGGGTGAAGTGCAGCACAAACCACTTAAAACATTAATGACATTTGGGGGCAAGGAACCATAAATGCATCTACAATGCAGCATTGGTTTCAAAAATTCCGTAATGGAGATTATGACCTCACAAGCAAAGAAGGTCCTGCCAGTTTAAGTCTATAGTTGAAGCTGACCCAACAAGAACTACTCGAGAAATAGTGGAAGAACTTGGTGTTCGCCATCTGGAAGCTATTGAAAACAAAGAAGCACACCAAGTGGGTTCCGCATGAGCCGAACGACCGCCAAAAGGATTGGTATAAAATCAGTTCAATGCTTTCCGTATAAAATGATCCATTTCTCAGTTATATGGTAATGTGTGATGAAAAATGGATATTGTATGACAATAGAAACCTAATGATTTAGGCCCATCACGCTGGATAAGAGTGAAAAACCAGAACACTTCCCAAAGCTAAGCTTGTCCAAAAAATTATGGTCACTGTCTAGTGGTCACCTAAGGACTTATTCATTGCAGCTTCCTCAATCCGGGTGAAACCATCATTGCTGAAAAGTACTGTAATGAAATTAATGAGATGGATTGAAAACTGAGATATTTGTGGCCAGCATTATTCAATCGGAAGGGGCTTATCCTCCTTCACAGCAATGCCCACACGTCGCACAACGGACTCTGGCACGACTTCATGAGTGGGTTTCGAGGCTTTTCTACATCCACCATACACACTCAATCTTTCTCCTACAGATTATCACTTTTTAAACAAAAACGTGCAAGAAACGTTTCAGAAGCCAGATGACAATATGAAAGAATGCATTTAAGAATGAGTGAGTATGCATTTAAATTGCATTTGTTGGGGACTGACAGTTTAAATGAGTTTAAATAGCCTCCTGGAGCCTAATTTCAGTGGCCAGATGGATAAGACTGCCAAAACCCAAGGAAGGTAATTCTGGAATAATGCATGCGCATATTACATACGTATGTGTACATGTGTTCAAAGTTGAGTTTAATAAATCAATATTCACTTTGCAGCCAAATTTCACAAGTTATTAAAAAGCTGAAAACCACAACAAACTTTTTCTTGTATTGGCTATGCAGTAGTCCTGGGTTCGAATCCTGGCACAGCCCATGACTTTTTAGTATGAAAAGAAGATTGTAAAGTGGTTTGACCCCTCATCCATGACACCCAACAGTTTAATATTAAGCCCTCATGACATGAATCATTGACATATTGTTATATTCCATGGGATTACTTTTTTATTTGTACTTTTAAAAAAAACTATTAGTTCCATTAGTAATATTAGAGTATTTAATAATAATTTATTTCAATTTTGTCACATTTTTAGCTCTTTTTGATTGTTGTAAAAATGAATTTCTGTTAACCTATGTTCACATTTTTATTTTTTTCTGTAAATCTCATTGTGCGGTGTGTTAAACCAGTAGAAAAATATCCAAAAATTAAAATTTACCATACTTACATAAATACTCATTATTTGTTACAATAGTACTGCAGAGGTTTTTCTTGATCGGGCTTTCAACAATGTACGGAGTTACATGATTAGACCTCTTAATGTAAATCTGTTTGGTCCAACTGCCGCCATTGGTTGAAAGCAATTTTTTAAATTCTGTTAAAAGTTCGTCTGCTTGTTTCGTTTCATGATAGCTGTTGGCCCCTTCATAATATTCTGCGATTGCTAAAGGTATTCCAAACGCTTGAAGATAACCCCCAAATACATCAGCCATGGCAGACATCATTAAATAGTGAACTCTTTTTGATAATTCCATTTTTTTTATAACTCCTACAAGACATTTTTTTACGCCTACATGAAAACCAACTTTCTGTTTGGTTAATTACCTAAACAAAGTTTTATGTACTTGATGAGAAATGATGTCCTGACTGGCATCCTTTTGGGCAGCACCGCCTGAAACAACCTTCTAGAATATAATAAAATTATTTCATCGTTATTCCAACATTCCTTGAAGCAGTCGGCGTTACGGAACAATACTGTCCTAACATTTGGGGAAGTACATGGGCACACTGTTGTATCTGCAGTAACCAAACCATTTCCCCAACCGAATATGCAGAAAAATAAGAACATGGTTCCCACTCTCATGCGAAAAGGCAAATCAAGAAAACAGACGCTTTGCACTTCCATGTTACATATTGCAATTGCTCACTTTGGTATGGTTATGAACAATATTAAACACTATTCCCAAAGTAACTTGTTACCCATTAAGTGATTATTATTAAGAAGAAATAAGTAATCCTAAGATTAGAATTGTGAATACTATCAGATGTCAAGTAAGTTTCATATGTTAAAAAAAAAAAAAAATAACGCCAAACACCACTACTCTTGTGCATATTTTCGTGTTAAGTTGTACAGGAAATGAAGAATGTCTCAGCCCGAACATTGCCAAGGACTGTAAGGTCTATAGCACACGTAGTGGTTTTGACCAAAGCGTTTAACGCAGCGCATTTTTCATAGTTGGCAGACGCTTTGGTTTCCCTAGCAGTATTGTGCCAATTATTTCAAAATTGCCAATCAGTCTCATTCGTGTCGTTTTCCTATATTGTCAATTATTATAGTGGACTATATCTATTATTGTTTATTAGTGCAATGGATGAAAAACAAGTACTTTGGCTTCCCTATTACCAATGGAAAAAAAGAACGAAAAACAGTTAAATGTGGGTTCACCCGATTGTAGGAAAAAGGCAGAAAAAAAGAACACTTCCACGTTGACATATGGGTCGGTGGTGTGGTGGACCAAAACAATAAGGCTGCTAAGTGGCACCCAAATACAAGTGTCGCTGGTGCCATGAGTACAATGCCAACTGCGGCCCTGGAAGTTTTGTTAAACCTCCCACCATTTCACATTTTAATCTAAGGAGCAGCCCAAAGGATCATAAATGGACAACAATCTGCTAGGATAGGCCATTTGAATAAACAATGGAAAGGAAGGAGATACAGGCAGATGCCATTATAGGTGTGCCAACTGATGCCATTACTACAAAGTACAACTTCAACAAATACAAAGTACTGATACCAGAATGGGAAAAATGGGCCAAGGGAACACCAGGGCAAACTCCTACTGGTATACTGACGGCTCCAACACTGAAAAAGGTAGCAGCGGCGTATCAAGCCGAAGGTCGTGGGTTCGAATCCCGCTCGTGACACTAACTTTTTTATCTCAACTTAAAACCTTAATTAATTGAATGATATTAATTGGTCAAGTGGACCACGAAAAATAGTGAATTTAATGAATTAAAATGAAGTATACTTCACTAAAGCTCTCCGTGGCCATTTCATTTGTCGCCGAGAATCAAATTGATTACACGACATTTGAAAAATGGCAAAAAGGAGGGAAAATTCAAAAGGTGGGGTTGAGATGGGAAGTTAGTGCCCAAGAGGATCAAGGTCACGACAGCTCAAGCGGTAGAGTAGCGCCATATCAAGCTGAAGGTCGTGGGTTCGAATCTCGCTCGTGACAGACTTTTTTGTCTCAACTTAAAACCTTAATTAATTCTATGGAATATGGAATTCTACCTTAATACATAAATCAACAAAATTCACATACTCCTGAATATGTGTATCCATATCACAGTTTAGAAGAGGATAAAGCACCCGGTACAATAGTTTCCATATCATGCTCCTCAACTAAAACATTGACTTACATTAACCATCCATCAAACCTCCTGCAGAAAGAGCAAGAAGACAGCTTAGATTGGAAAAACAGAGATACTCCTGATATTGATTGAATGGACTCGACTATATCGTTATTTTATTGATAAAAATTGTTGTAAGGTAAAACTGTTACATTTTTGTTAAATTCTTTACAAAATATTATTTGAAATTCAACATTTTCAAATTCAATAAGCTGCACTTTCTCTAATCATATTTTCTGAAGTGTAAAAATGCGACTAAATTAAGATTTATTAGCACATTTTGTTGAACAGGAATGCTTATTAGCTTTCTTGCCTAATTTTTTGTGACAGTAATAGGTGCACTTGTGGCCGCATTTGAGAACCTTTCCACAAATTGTTTTGCATGTCAAATAATTCTGATGTTTTCCACCTTCAAATAACTGACACTGAAATAAGCACTGGTGTCCACATGATAACTTTGCACCACATAATTTACGTTTTGAAGTATTTTTAATGTTCTGCTCTTTGTTTGGGTTAATAGTAACACTATTAAACTGTCTAAAAAAAATATATATATAAAAATCAATATACAAAAATAAAGAAAAAACTATATTATTACACACTGATCAAATCAAAAAATACCTCGAAAGCAAATTATCATTGTGTAATGGACAAATGAATTTATCTTCATGCTCCTTATCATCCATGTGGCACATGAACTGGCATTTGTGTCCACACTCCAGAGTAGCCATACAGAATTCTGTGCATAGATAAATTTCTTTGTGTTCTGTATCTGGCAAATGGCAATTGGACTTACATACATGACCACACTTCAACTCCTGTTTACACATATGATCACAACCTGTGTTAGAACTAACAAGCAACTGATTGTAACTAACAGCTTCAGTGTTGTGCACCTTTTTTTGACATATAAGTGGTAAACTTTTACCTGCAAAAAAAAAATGTTTTAAAATAACCACCAAAAAGAAATGTAAAGGACACTGACCAATGGCATTTTGTTTCTGCAGCACAGTTTGGACTTCTTGCCACAATGTGCTGGATTTGGATAATATTGTCATGTTACCAAGGATAAACAGACCGGCTCTTGCTCTTGAAAGTGCTACACAAACACGGTTTTCCAATGCGAGAAAGCCAATATGGCCATTCTTGTTGTTTCTCACCAATGAAATAATGACAATAGTATTTTCTTTCCCTTGGTAGCTATCCACAGTAGCAATGATAATATCGTTCAAATTTTTAAATTTTCCATGGTCCTAAAATTTTGTGTAATTGTTGTATAGCAGATTATAAAAGATTATTTTTTATTTCAATTAATTAAGGTTTTTAGTTGAGATAAAAAAAGTCAGTGTCACGAGCGGGATTCGAAGCCACGACGGAATCAAATAAAGTACACGACATTTGAAAAATGGCAAAAAGGAGGGAAAATTCAAAAGGTGGGGTTGAGATGGTAAGTTAGTGCCCGAGAGGGTCGAAGTAACGATAGCTCATGTGTAGAGTAGCGGCGTATTTAGCCGAAGGTCGTGGGTTCGAATCCCGCTCGTGACACTGACTTTTTATCTCAACTAAAAACGTTAATTAATTGAATAGTATTAATTGGTCAAGCAGACCATGAAAAATAGTGAATTCAATTAATTATTCTTTTTATCTAAGGTCTTGTTTGAGATGAAAAAGTCAGGTCATGAGCGGGATTTGAACTCAAGACCTTCGGCTCAATTCACTGCTGCTCTAACCGCTTGAGCTATCATGACTTCGATTCATTTGGACACCAACTCGTCATCTTGACCTAGACACTTGATTAAAAAAATTAATTGAAATTGGTTAAACTGTAGGCTTATTGTAATAAAATAATAAAAAATAATTAATTAAACTCTTTAATAATTAACAAAAGAATACCTAACATGAGGGAAAAAATGAGAAATTCACTTGCCGAGAGTAGCAATGTTTCATTCACCCTACAATTCGCTCCTACAGGATAACGCCCGTTGGTCCACTCCAAGGCCTTACGAGTTTTCCTCCGGGAATAATGAAGAAATGCAGTTAACACCTTGGCAGTGAAACATAAACAACTTTTCGGAAGATAATTTTCTCATGTTGCAATACGGAGGAGAAATACTTCGTTGAGAGGGGAAATACTATTACTAATTTTATGGTGTTGGGCAGGAGAGAAAAACGTGTGTGTACTGCACAACTGACGGAAAAAAAACGAGCCTCACACCGTCCGCCAACTAAGCCTTTCATCATTTGGCAGGCCAATCAGAGATTGGAGGCTTAAAATAAAGAGAACTGAATTGAATTTTAATACTTTTTAATTGACTAATTTTTAATAAGAAAATAAAATAAATTATGCTTCGGCATAAACAGAAATGATTAATACGATCAATTATGACCACTAAACATGTATGGATTAATGTAATAATTATCTTTCAATTGATTAAGGATTTTAGTTGAGATAAAAAAAGTCAGTGTCACGAGCGGGATTTGAACCCACGACCTTCAGCTAGATACGCCTCTACTCTACCACTTGAGCTATTGTGACGTCGATCCACTCGGACATTTTTAATCTCAACTAAAATCCTTAATTAATTGAAAGATATTAATTGGTCAAGCGGACCATGAAAATTAGTGAATTTAATAACTTAAAATGAAGTATATCTTCACTAAAGCTCTCCATCATTTCATTTGTCGCTGAGAATCAAATAGATGACACATTTGAAAAATGGCAAAAAGGAGGGAAAATTCAAAAGGTGAGGTTGAGATGGGAAATGTGTCCGAGTGGATCAAGGACACGATAGCTCAAGTGGTAAAGCAGCGGCGTATATAGCCGAAGATCGCGGGTTTGAATCCCGCTCATGACACTGACTTTTTTATCTCAACTAAAATCCTTAATTAATTGAAAGATTAATCAGTCAAGCAGATCACGAAAATGAGCGAATTTAGTAATAATTAACTAATTAATCACTTTGTTTGCAGCTCCCTGTGGCCACTTTATAAAGTCACATGACTTATGACTGCTAAACATATGTGGGTTATTTTTATTAATGTCCTTTTTGTGACAGATAAATTCATCGTTTGGTATTTTCAATAACATATAAGGTACAAATGGGTTTGAGGCATATCTATCCCAGATGACTGTCATAGCAAATTTTCATCCATTATAAGCAGTCAATTGACAGAAGTGATTTAGAGTTGAAATAATTTTTTACTTTAAATGTTTTCACAAGGTTAAGAAATAAAAAATTTTTTTGAACATCTTAAAATTCACATATTACGAAAAAAGTTAACAAACCTTTTGCAACATATTTTTTTGTTTCTCATACAACATATTTGCCTGTTCTTTGTACATTGTAAGAATGGTAATTTCACATGGCTCATATCCTTGCATAATAAAATAGTGAGCAAGGCCGAGTGCAAAATGTACTTCAAAATCATTGTACATACTTGATTTGGAACCCTTAAAAAATGTATGTATGTAAATAACCAATAACCATTGAACAGTGTATCTAAACTTACCTTATGTTCATGATGTAAATGGTCAAAAAAAAAAACATTTTTGCTAACACCTTTAATATCATCTTGATTTGTTACAGAATCATCGTTTTGTAAGTACTTATAAATAGCTGGAGCTATCAATGCACTTATCTCTGGACGCATTCGGTATTGTATATTCAGAACAGACGGGTTAATACCATTATTTATCAAACGTTCAAATAGAGATAAATCGAAGTTGTATTTAGTTGCAAACTCTTTACAGTCAATACAAGGGCGAAGTTGTTTATGGTCACCTAAAAAATAATTGTCATTTTTTTCCATAGAAATTGTTCAAAAATCACCTAAGCACTTGCAATTTATTCATTAAAATGTTTATAATAAATAACTATTTTATTAGAAATTACTTAATTTGAATTTTTCAATAGTAAAGTAATGAAGCGTATAAATAACAACAAAATAAAAACTACAATTCCCTAATTGAAAATTTTTCCCACAATACAAATGAATTCTAAAATCTTACCAAACAGGATGACATGCTGACAGTGTTCATTTAAAGAAGCTATGCAATGACTTTCGATTATTTCTGCTGCTTCTTCAATAATTACTAAACAGTAAGAAAATTATTAAAATCTTTGTCAAATGGTTGCACTAATAAAAAAAAGGTCAAGAATGTAAAAAATTAAAAAAGTGGTTTTCATTATTAATTCAGACAATTTTAATTTATGAATATCTTCTTGGTCCTAACTGATTAATTTGGTATGACACGGAAAGTATGATTGGAGAAATCTCACAATATTTTGTTCATATAACTTTAAAATGACATGACATGATCACTTTTATTCACAAAAATTTGCATTTAATTGATTAAAAAAATAAATAAAAAATATACTTATAGTTACCTATCCTTGGTTTTAGTTCATCTAAAAGTATATTTAATCTTGCACCAGCTGTTGTTGTCATACCAACAACATCTACAATATTCTGACCAATTTTTCTAGAGTTTAATATATTTTCAATTTCATTAAGTTTACCATCCAGATTCTGTTGTTTTTCTGTCAACTGTTTAATAAAAAAGTTGCACTGAGACTTTAATTTTTCCAGCCAAAGGTAGTATAGAGCCCACCTATCCTCCACATTAGTTATGTCCTTTACATTTGCATTTAATAATTCTGATTTCTTGGTTTCTTCCATATTCAATTTAAAATTTAAAAGTTTCTTCAAGCACAAGCACAGTTTATCTAAATCTTTGAAATTTAAATTTTTGTTTTGGAAATGTGTAGGAGAATTTTTCAATTTACTTTTAAAAACTGTAATATCTTGTTCAGTAATGGCATAAGTAGAATGTTGTTTGAAGCTGGTCTTAATGTCTTTTACTGGCATGTCAAAAATCCAGTCCAAATAAATACAACTTAAGTATTCAGTTTCTTCAGAGTTCAATACCGGCTTTAATGTTGCAAACGGAATCAAACCCTTATTTTCTGTTATCATAGAAATTATTTTGAAAAGGATGTATCTTTTTCTTTCCACATAGAACAGGCTATGTTTTAGGTTATTTTTATGCAGTTGAAATATATCGCAGAATTGTGGACTTTCAATTGCTCTAAGCGAATATTTAGCTAGTGTTTTGCTTTTAGTTCTTTTTCCAATCCGAAGGACACTCACTTCATCTTTTAACAGGCCAGTTAGCAATTCATCCAATGATAAATTTTTATAACATATTATTAAAATCGGTGTATTGAATTTGTTAGCCCATACGTGTTTGTTTTGTAAGAGGACTTTAACTATCTGTCTACACATAAAAGTTTTGCCGGTACCGGGTGGTCCTTGAATAAGACAAAGTTCATGATTCAAAGCATGAAAAAGTGAATCCATTTGGTTACTGTTCAAACCGACTGTCTTTGGATCAGGATATGTATCTCTCTTTGATACAATTACGGAATGCTCTCCTATATTATAAGATATGCCCTCGTGAAGGTAAGAAGGCGGTTTAACATTACTAACTGCATGTACTAAATATTTTTCAAAAGGGAATGTATATTTTGGCATTTGCCTTAAAATTTTCATCACTGAACAGAAGGGTTCAAAATATTTAGTTGGCTCGGCTAATATGTACAACGCATCAAAATCAATGTGATCAGGAACAAGAAGAAAAGATATAATTAGCATCCCTCTCCCACGTTCTAAAGGCTTCCTATTTTTCACTTTTGCGAGAAAATAGGTTTTAAAGTGGTTTGTAGTAAGTAATATTAGTGAACCATACAAAAACATTTTTGAATTTAGCCAGTCAACCTGGTCTAACTGCTTATTCTGCTCATCAGTAAATTTTACAATAAAACTTGTGCCTAAAGATAAACGAACATTTTTATATATATTCAAAGATTTTTCTGTTAGATCACAATTTTTTTTTGTCAAATAATCATGTATACCAGTCCTCAATACACTTTCAAAATCTTCTTTTAAAAGTAGAAAATGAGTGGTTATGTAATCAGTAACACTTTTATATGCACCAACTTTTAGATTAGCATATACCTCATTTTTCTCATAAATATTTGTCGGAAAGCATAAATTAAAAGAATTGAATTTATGTCTGTTGACCTTTTTGATAATGACTTCAAGTTTATCCAATATGTCATTGTTCAAATGTATATTTATTGAAACATATTCATAAAATTTCACATACAACTGTAACAGAGATTTAAGCGTTGTGATATCTACCTGTTCTAATAAATGATCAAAATATAAAATAACATCTTCTTTAAAACAAATCAACTTGTTAACTACAGTTAGTTTTTCATGTGATGGGATAGTAGTGAGCGCTTCAGAAATCAAGTCTATAATTACTTTAAGAACTTCTGTTGAAAGCATCTCTAAAATTATGCTTTCCTTGTGGAAATTGAGTTTGCACTTAGAAACACTGATCAATGTATCGGAAAGAAGAATGAGGTCGTGCCAATCTTTAATCAAGATTGAAGGACTTTCTTTGTCGTTCAAATGGTCTGTAAGTTTTAAAACTATCAACATCGGTTCTTCCAGTTGTAATATACTATGCCAGTCAATGCTTCCATTCACAAAACATGGTTTTTCCCAAATTGTAGCAATTCCATCTTCGTTATCAAAAAATGGAACATCAGTAGATTGGAAATTTATTCTTTGTAAGCTTTGTGTATCACTTCGGCTAGATTGGTCATCATTTAAAAAAAAATCTGATAAATTCGTTGAGTTAAAGAAGAAATCATATTCTTCTTCGAAGAGGAAATCATGTTCTTCTTCGAAGAGGAAATCATGTTCTTCTTCGAAGAGGAAATCATGTTCTTCTTTTTTCTCTTTCTTCTCCTTTTCTTCTTTTTTTGCTAAATCAAGTTCATAAATCATTGCAAACTCAAAACTAAATTATTGCTCATTAAAAAAAAAGGTCCAGATTTTAAAGGTGCTTTATTGGAAGTATATGGTTTCTGCTAATGATGGAACTGTCTTCTCGCTTTTGTTTTTAAAATCCTCATCTTTACCTGAAAAACAAAATAAGATAATAATAAATCAGTATATAACTTACAAACTTACTGATAACATGCAACAAACTATTGTATTTCTGTTAATGGGGTACTCTTTTTGTTAAGAACTACTTAGAAAAATGTACTTTGCCTTTATTTCCAGCAATGTATATAAATTGCTCAAAAATGAATAGGGATATTTGATTTATAATCATCTTGAACGAGAAGTTCACAATTTTATTATGAGCATGAGTCATCGAGGTCACCGGCAAGTTGATTCTCAAAGTATGGCCCGGGCTTTAGCTCAATTCCGAGAGACTGGAAGTGCCAATAGGAGACCTGGTAGTGGATCTCAGCGCATTACGACGTTTAAGGAAGGACAGAAATATTGCCATGGCTGCAAGACGGAACCCTTTCCATAGTACCTGCCAGATCCTAAATGAAGTAGATGTTTTGGCAAGGCCTTTATCAACACAAATATAGGTCTCACATCATCTTTGAGATGACATGCAGCAACAGCCCGCCACCTGCAAACTCAGGAAAATATGGTGCAGCGAGCACCTAGAAGATATCACCAATTGGAATGCTGTTGTTTACTTATGAGTCGCATTTCTGTCTGTATAGTGATAGCAGGCGGCGAAGAGTCTGTACGGAATGCATACAACGACTCAGTTTGTACGCCCTTCAGTGCAGTTTGAAGGAGGCGGTGTAATTGTCTGGGCTGGGATTTACACTGGAAGACTTCTCCATATTGTTGAAGGCAACCTCACCGTGGCTAGTTAAGTCCAAGAAATTATCGAAGGATACATAACTCAAATATGACTAACAGGTGCACAGAGGTTTTAGCTAACAAAGGACATTACACGGTATTAATTGTTTTAAAAAAATTATTGTGCCCAATAAACAAAATCAAGGAATTAAACCTTTTATTTTGTTATTTCTCAAATTTTCAAAAATTTTCCTTCAGTAAAATAACATAATTATTTCTAATAAATTTTAATGATGCCAAGCTAGCAGTAAAGAACATGATAAAAGAAAGATGGCAGTGTCAGTAGGCCGGATCATCCGAGAGGCTTTTGCGTGTCAAGAGCACGATTCGTAGATCCCCCCCCCCGGAGAACTTGAGCCAGAAACAAGGAATCGTCCTTATGTGATTAAGAATAGGCCATACGCGGTTGACACACGGGCACCTGCTCTTGGGCCAAAGCCCGCGCAGTTGCCCCTTATGCAGAGAAAGGGGCTCGATGTGTCCCATATACTGGAAACATGTCATGCTTTGACTCCCTACAGGAAGCGTGTAGGCATGCCATCCAATCTGAAAATGGTACTCAAGCACTGCAACAGGTTTCTGGGTCCCCTGTTCCGCTTTCTAGGGGAATTTTTTTTTTTTAATTTATTGTACATAATATGCCTTATGTGTTGTGTGTCTATATGTTTTGTCTGAGTGCACGTATTTATTAGCGTGAAAGGTGAGGGTGAAATATAACATCATTATCGCCCCTTGAACGTTGAGAGCATATGAGTGTGAGTTTGGTGTCGATGGCAGAATATTTATAAAACTACTCCATCGACCCCAATCTAGATTAGTTTGAGTATAGGTCGGTGGAGTACTTGATATTCCTCCACCGTCCGAACGGAATGAGTGTACTATATGGATGTATTTATGTGTATGAATGTATTTATTTGTATGAATGTAGTGTTTGAAAGGATAAATATAATGTAGACTTAGTTGGGGGCTTAAATGACCTAGAGTTCAGAAGCCCCAGTCAAAAAAAAAAAAAATTTTAATGCAATTTATAATAAAAATAAAAATGTTAGGGAAAGTAAATAATCCTAAATTAGCAATATTCCTATTCATTTTTGAGCAGTGTAGATAAAATTGGCTGATCTTTCAATTTAATAAAATTATACTTTTACGTATTATTTATATATAGATGTTGAAAAGATGTAAAGTTTCCAATGTAACAAAGTATAAGAGATCATAAAGTTTTTTGTTTTTGTTTTTTTTAATAAAAAGATTTTCTCTTTGACATGTCTGGAAATGATGCATTGATACTATTTAAAATGAAAGAGGATGAATTATCTTCGGAAACCCTCGACCAAAATTATCGCACGCACTTAACTCAAGAGCCGTTATGAGTAAACAATTTTTTAAAAATGTAAATGTGATTAGAACCATCATTTACAAAATGTAAAAAGGATAAAAATACAATCAAAAAGTGAATCAACATACTTACGTTGATTACATACTTATGTTGTAGACATAAGCTAAAGGTAATAGATTATTTCTGTAAAATTTGAATTAATTTGCTAAGTTGCATCTCATTCACTAACTATTTTGTAAATTTTGTTTAATAAATTGAAATTACTAAGCTGTAAGTAGTATTTAAAGTCTATATTTTAAAAAAAATTTAATGCACTGTCTGTTGTTTTTGTATTTTTTGAACTATATACTTACAAATGAGTAACACATCATCAATTTTTACACAATACACATGAAAACGCAAAAACTAAAATACGAAAAAAAAAAATCTAGCTGCTCACAAAAATGTCAAAAAACCCAATCTACGCACCGCACAACATTGATCGTAATAAACACCACACTAAAAAAAAAACACAAAACATAAACAACAATAAAATTTTTACCCAGATAACAACAAGAAGGAACAAGACATAATAGAACAAACAATTACACCCACTCAAGATACCAAACTAAAGAAAAATAACTTCCTCATCACATGAGCACACAAACAAACATCAAAGACAGAATTAACAACCCTTTAATCATAAACACAAAAGAAATTACAAATACATAAACATGAACACACAACCACCCAAACCCACAGCACTCCCAAAAATATGCAAACAAAAAAATGAATCCAGTCATAAACTACAACCCAGCCACTGCATGCAAACTTAGACAAATAATATTACTCAAAACACATCTCAAACTAAATGACACACACTGCTCATAACTCACAAACATACTACAAATAAAACTTCTTTAAATTCAATGGACATATACACCAGGCGGACTAGGAATTGGTAACCCAACTTCAGCCATCAAAAAAAAAAAAAAAATACAATACAAAAATCAAAAACAAAAAACACACTGACCTAAATGGACCACATTCACATACATTGGGAAAGAAACGTACAAACCAAGTAACTTATCTGACAAAATAAGCTTAAAACAGCACTAAAAACTACAAACACAATACGAAAATTACGAACAAGGAGACGACCAGGTTGGTGTGTCACGGATTTGGACAGAAAATTTTTGGTGATTTTACACTCAAAAATATCAGACAGTATACACCACTTCTTGCGAATAGGCCCTGATTTTATCTTCTTTCTTTTTCTTTTTTTTTGAAAGTTGAAATTTTCCATTTTTTGATATTTTTATTTTGTTGTTCTACTTGCTCAAACCGACTATGTGAATATGACATTTCACAGCAATTTTTTTGTAAATTGCAATAAAAGTAGAGCAAAAGCTATCAATGTTTATCAATAACCAAAAAATTTCTTTAAAAAAATTATTATACAAAATAATTTATTTTTATTAGGTTTCGTGGTTGACTTGACCAAATAAATTTTTTTCAATTAATTAATCTAATTAAGGTTTTGGTTGAGATAAAAAAGTCAGTGTCACAAGCGGGATTCGAACCCACGACCTTCGTCTAGGTATGCCGCTGCTCTACCACAGCTATTGTGACCTCAATCCACTCGGACATCAACTTCCTTTCTCAACCCCACCTTATGAGTTTTCCTTCCTTTTTGCCATTTTTCAAATGTCGTGTAATCTATTTGATTCTCGGTGACAAATTCTAAAGGTAGGGTTGAGATGGGAAGTTAGTGTCCGAGTGGATCGAGGTCACAATAGCTCAAGTGGTAGAACAGTGGCGTATCTAGCCGAAGGTCTTGGGTTCGAATCCCGCTTGTGATGCTGACTTTTTTTACCTCAACCAAAACCTTAATTAAATACAAAATATTTTTTTTTTAGTTGAAATTATCCGGTTTTTCATATTTTTAATTCGCCGTTCTACTTGCTCAAATCTACTGTGTGAATATATCATTTCACAGCAATTTTTTTGTAAATTGCAATAAAAATAGAGCAAAAGCTATCAACGTTTATCAATAACCAAAAAATTTCTTTTAAAAAAATTATTATATAAAATAATTTTTTTTAGTTGAAATTTTCCAGTTTTTGATATTTTTATTTCGCCGTTCTACTTGCTCAAATCTACTGTGTGAATATTTTACAGAATTGTTTATGTATATTGCAATAAAAATATAGTAAAAACTGTCAAAGTTTATCAATAACCAAAAAATTTCTAAAAACCAAATATTTTTCAAGTAAACTCCACATTTTTTGTGTTAAAACCAATATTATTTTACTAATAAAAAATTTCTAAACCAAAAAATTTCTAAATCCAAATATTTTTCGAGTAGACTAGGTCATCAATTTTTTTCCTGAAACCAATACGAAATTTCGTTTCAGCACCTCAAAAGAACACTAAATGTAAATTTTTGTTTTAATTTAAATTTGTCCGATTTTTAAGAATTCGATATCGGAATATCTAATTGAAACGGCTGTATTTCAAAAACGGCAAAAAGGATTTTGACGTCGAACAGACCATTTGAAAGAAGAAAAACGTAACTTTATAACGATTTATGTACCATTAAAATATACGGAAGATTTCTACAAGAAAATACTCAAAATGGAAAAATTATTTGTCAGAAATTAACCTCGTTTTTTTAAATGGAAATAATAGTCCAATTTTAATGTTTGATATTGTTATAAAATACACTTGACAATTTCTTTAAAACGAATTATTAATTATGAAAATCGGTCTTCTATGTTTTGAGGAAAATTATGTTAAGAGTTTGCACTATAATGCCAATCAGGCAAAGATCGTCGAAATTATCAGTCAAAAAATTAATTTATGCTCATTTACTAAAATTTACTTTATAGTTGTAATTATTAATTTTATTTTATACGAAATTTCTTCTCAGGCAAGAAAGTCTGTATCTATGGGTTTTTACAACGCTAGAATCACTACAATTGAAGTCACATCCAAGTTTTGACCAATTTCTAAAGTATGAAATTTTGTGTTATGAAAAAAAACTGTCGTCATAATTAAAATATTTTCAAAATCGTTCTTATTTTGTCACTTAAATATTAAAATTTGCCCTCTAAGTCAATTTTTTAATTAAAATCAAATATGGCTGTGCGACAGCCATGTTAACATCCTGATAGTGTGAAATATATTTGTGATAAGTACACACTAAGATAAAACATAAAAAGAGAAAAAAATTAAGGGTAAAATAATAAAACATTAACTAAAAATTAAGTCAATTAACCAATTTACAAAATTTCGCCTCCCACCATTACAATTACTAAAAATTAAATCAAATAAGCTCAGAAGATGTATCAGACAAAATAAATTAAAGAAAACAAAATTAATGATAAGAGTGTAATCGGGAGGATTGGAAGGGTTGCCCAGGAAATGAATTAATATGATTTGCAGGGGGACTTACCTAAACAGAGGCAGAGCAGGCTGAGCAGAATTTTCTTCTCTATATCGTACAAGACTGGCCCGTCGTCACCCTTTTTACTGACGAGTCAGTCTTCCCCTCTACCTCTGCAAGGCTCGTCCCTTTCTTTATTTATACTATTTATACAATTAATAATTAATAACTACAGGATTACAGTTGTTCCTAAATACTATCACTTTACAACTACTCACGCCTTTAATTACTAACTACAAGATTACATTTGCTCCTAATCACTATCACTTTACAAGAGAAAAACAAAAATAAAATAAAATGCAATAAATTCAATTAAAGATAAAATAAAAGTTATTTAGAAATCGTGAGATGCGGTCTGGTGTGATGTAGGTTTCAGAAAAACATTTTCTATATCGTGCCAACGTTTCGATCATTATTGAGATCATCTTCAGGGCCTGGGATTTACAAACTTGTTTACATTTAACAAATACATTTCGGATGTGGAAAAATGAATTTATTCATGCAAAATATATTTTTTTATATATATTCAATCAAAGTATTTCTACTCACTCAAAGTGTTTGTCTTCTGTGTAATTGTGCCAGTGAGATTTTGCTGTTTTATGTTTATATACGTTGGGTTTTGAATGGGTGGGGAAGGATGTCGGTATAGAAAAGACATTTTTGTATAAGGCGTCGGCTTTTTTGAGGTGAAAAGTGCCGACGAAGGGAAAAAATGTGTTGGTAATGGTTCGGCCAGATTATCCTTTCAGGATTTTAAGAAAGGGATAACCAGACCGCACCTCACGATTTCTAAATAATTATCGATTAACGGCCACTAATCACCACACAAAGAATAAAAATTAGAGAATACAGTAATTGCCAAATATACCACGAAGAAAGTTCAAATTATAAATTTAAAATTTTTACAGTAATAAACTTGTTGAAAGCATAATAAGAATTAAATTTGTTAAAATTAATTTTATCATTGTAAAGAAACATAAAAACAACATTTAAAGAAATATTAACTTATAAATTGATTATTCAGAGATCGTGAGATGCGGTCTGGTGTGATGTAGGCTTCAGAAAAAATTTTTCTTTATCGTGCCAACGTTTCGATCTTTATTGAGATCATCTTCAGAGCACTCTCAACACGACACGCAAGAATGGCACACTTACGCAGAAAACAAACACTGAGCCCTGAAGATGCTCTCAATAGAGATCGAAACGTGGCACGATAAAAAAAATGTTTTTCTGAAACCTACATCAAACCAGACCGCATCTCACGATATCTGAATAATTATCGATTAACGGTCACTAATCACCACACATTACAAATAATTACGTTTTGCGGTCGAAAAGGCTCATGGAAAACTGAATCTGAATTATGTATCAAATTGAATTCCTATTTTTGTTACTGTTTTAATAAAATACAGCATTTTAATAATTAAGTAATGTAATATAGTTATATTATAGTATTAGTAGTAGTATTATATATTATAGTAATTTAATAAAAATTACTACATAATTATAATGATTTTTTAATGAACTTTTATCTATTTTTAAGGGTATAACGCTGGTTGAAAATTTTAGTTTTTTCACTAGGGTCACTACATAAAAATTGTCTTTACCAGTTTACATAATATGGGGTTCGTATACGTTAAAATCATAATTTATGTTCAACAGGCTTCCGATTTTGAATATGAATTGACTTACTTTCGAAAAATGGTGAGTACTGATCGCAGGTAGTCACTCAACTGGCCCAGAGGTACGTTTATCAGCCAGAGCTCAACTTTTGCGAGGTGGTGGGAAGAGTGTGTCCAGCTGATGTAAGTTTTTTTTTTTTTAACTGCAACTTTTCACATTTTTTAAGTTTTTGTGCCATGTTTGTTTGGAATATTTTTCCCGCTCTTCCTCGGCCCCACACATCACTCTGTGGTCGCATTCGCCTTCCATTTTGTTCCAGAACGTTTTCCTTAAAGAAAACGGCCTACTCAAAACATCAAACCTATTTTTACATGTTGTAGTTATTTTTTGTTTATATTGAGAGTGAATGTATTTATCAGTGTGAAAGGGTAGTGTGAGAAGACCATTGTCAGAATATTGTATACTACAAAAACTCTCAATTATATTATTATAAATTTGTAAGGGTTGGATGAACGAGTACACCACCGTACTTGAGTGAATAGTGCAAATAGAAAAATTTGGGTGTGAATGTGTTTAGTTTTAAAAACTGCTTGTTTAGGAGCTGAAATGACCTGTTGATATCCTCTAGAGCCGAAGGTCTTAGCCAAAGTAAGTTCAATTCTGTAGACGTGTACATAATTTAGCTCATATAAATTCGTAATAAGAGATTCTTCTTCTCTTCTTTGATGAATAGGATTTTTCTTTTGTTCTATTTCTCGTTTCTTTTTTATTTAACCCTATACTACAATAGATATGTAAACTATTTTAAGTTTTGTACATTATAATTTCCCCAATGTATACAATGTTTCAAATGCCCTTACAAAGAATTCAATGTGATCCAAAAATAATATTTCGTCGGTTTCTAGACTTCTCAAAATATGTGCCATGATTCATATATTTGTTTTTCTCCTTATCTCGACAGTCTGATTCAAGTTTTATTCAAGAAGGACCTTTGAAAAAAAGCTTATGAAAACACACCTTAAATTAAACAAGCGCTCTTTTAAAAGTTCAAAACCATAAAATTACAGTTACCACCACATTGATTAACACCAAATAAATTAGATTAATTTAACCGATTTATCTATTTATTCCACTAAAGGAAACAATGGTCGTGCCACTTCACAAAAACTGTGACAAATATGCTCAACATATATATTACAGAGGAAGAATGAACAAAACTATTTTGACATAGACAAAATTCACCAGAAAACGTACTAGGAATAAACTCAATTCCTAATCAAACTTCAAAATTTTGAAGAGGAATACGTTCCCGAAATTAAAGAAAAACACCACATATATACAGCTATGTTCACGACACACTGCACAGACGTCAACCCCATAAGTCACATACTCACAGACACCCTACACAAAAAAACAATTTACAGTAATAATCAGTAAAACTGACAAACTAAAATTCAGTACGTAGCATTGAATGCAAGTTCTCTTTCACACTGGTTGGGTTCAAACTGCTTAATGCAAACTCGACTTGCACTAACGGATTAAGCCGCCATGCAGCATCAAAGGTAGTGGCTACTTGCTGCAAGAGTAATTTTGCTCGCTACCGACTCCTGCTGGATCCACCCATAATACCGGTCCTACTTAGGACTGACAAAAAAACCCTGTGACTAAAATATAATTTATTGGTTCATTACATTTTTATTTGGCATTACTTGCATTTATCCTTATATACAGTAAGAGAAGTTCATGACGATTTTGAGGAGGATGGGGTAGAATGTGAAGTTGAATCTGGTGACAGTGTAGTCACCAAGAAGTTCAGCAGAGCAAAAATTGGACTGTTCATCTCAAGAACTAAGAAAGGTTCATGAAGTTGGAAGCCTTTACTCAGAAAAAAAATCCACTAGTTTCACATGGGGTGGTGCAAATGATATCAAACATTACAGAACATAAATATGCTTCTCTGTCTTCTTTTCGGACTACTGTGTATACTGGTCTAATGTTTCCCTTTACCATATTTTCAACTCCCTGTTCATCAACCACCATAGCAATAAGTTGCTCAATATTACAATTATGGTAGGTGATCTAACGATTTTAGAATGGAAGGAAGGTCATTGTTGAAAACCGCAAATAAGAGTGGAGAGATAAGAGCACCTCGGGAACACCAGAAGACACCTTTATTAAGACTGTTACCTTTGTTCACAGTTAGACAACTAGAAATACCAATAGATTTAAAGTTTTAACTATAACAGATTGTGGTACTCTATCAAACGTCTTAGAAAAATCTGTTTAGATGATATCTACCTGATTACCACGTTGAAAGCTTGGCATAACTATGCTCTAGTCTTCTATTCAATTATTAATTTCAATTAATTTATCTTTTTATGTAAGGTATTGGTTGAAATTAAAAAGAGTGTCGCGAGCGGGATTCGAACCCACGACCTTCGGCTTAATACGCCGCTGCTCTACCACTTGAGCTATCGTGACTTCGATCCACTCGGATACCCCACGTCAACCTTTAGAATTTTCCCTCCTTTATGCCATTTTTCAAGTGGTTAGACCAGTGGCGGGTTGAGCCGAAGGTCGTGGGTTCGAATCCCGCTCGTGACACTAACATTTTCATTTCAGCCAATACCTTACAAAAGATTAATTAATTGAAATAAGTTATTTGGTCAATCGGACCCCGAAATATAATCAATTTAATTATTACTTGAAGATCTATCCCAACATAATTAATTAACGGTTTTTATTAGGTTTCGTGGTCCGCTTGACCAAATGAATTATTTTCAATAATTAAGGTTTTGGTCGAGATAAAAAAAGTCAGTGTCACAAGCGGGATTCGAACCCGCGACCTTCGGCTAGATACGTCGCTGCTCTACCACTTGAGTTATCATGACTTCGATCCACTCGGACACTAACTTCCCATCTCTACTCACCTTTTGAATTTTCCGTCCTTTTTGCCATTTTTCAAATGTTCGAATCCCGCTTGTGACACTGACTTTTTTATCTGGACTAAAACCTTAATTAACTGAAACTAATTAAAGACTTCACTTTTTTTCAACCTATGGTGATATGAGATACAAAAATGTACACCGAATCTCGAGAAAATCATTAATTATAAAATAGCTAAAAATGACCTTTAAATGGGCTTGATGCTAATTATTAGAATTTTATCTTAACCATTAATGCCTTTGGGACTGTGGATTTATTATTGCGAATTTAACACTTTTGCTTAGGTTTATCAGGAAATATGGCGCCGTTGGCACAAAAGCATTCTTTTCCTAAAACTTTTAAAATTTTCTAACTCAAGCCTGTTTTCAATTTTATTAGAAAGACAGACGGAAGAAACATAAAAACACACGGGTAATCCATCAAAGGCGCCGACAGACAAAGGCAACAACCGGCACGTTTCACGAAGAACATAAAAATGATACGCTGAACCAGCTAAACCTCCACTAATCACTGTACAAAGCATTGATACAATTTGTTTAGCACGTGCCTAGATTTGATTTTTCAGAAATGTTTGTGCCAAACGTGAAAATTTCCCACAATATACAATTATCGGCTAGCAAATAATTGTTACGATTTATTTAAATCTAAATAAATTTCCTTCTTCCATCATTCGGTACGACTGCCAATATGACAGGCGTATGCTCAATTATTACAGCGGAAAGCATAGTCATCCGCGAAGTCTTACGACGTGCATAGAAATTTTGTCTGATAACCAGTGTCTTTTATGCATTGAAAAGCAAGAAACAACCTAGAAACCCGAACGAAACATTTTTTTTTTAATAAATAGGTCATAAGTGACCGTTATTCGATAATTATTCAGAAATTGTGAGATGCGGTCTGGTGTGATGCAGGTTTCAGAAAAACGTTTTCTTTATTCTTGTGAATATCTCACTGGCACTCTCTACACGTCACGCAAGAATGGCACAATTACACAGAAGATAAACACTTTGGGCCCTGAAGATGATCTCAATAAAAGATCGAAACGTTGGCACGATAAAGAAAATGTTTTTCTGAAACCTAATCACACCCGACCACATCTCATGATATCTGAATAACTGATTTTTCTTGGAATTTATATTAGATTGCCCAGGAATTGGGTGGGATTGCATATTGCAAGGTTGGTTCATATTTGCGAATAGCCTTTGCAACGTAAGGATCTGCTCTATGTTTTTGTTTAGGGCCAGGAATGTTTTGTCTTCTGTAATCTTTAACTTCCGATTGTTAATCTGCTGATAGTTGTTATCTCTTGTTGGGCTACACCGCTTTGCCGGATTACCGAAATTCCAATTTCGTGATTTGTATGGATCCCCTTTTCCATATTGAAATCTATTGAATCCTGGGTAGTCTTGGCGATTGTAATTAAAATTCCTTGTAGTTTTTGCATTGTAAGTAGGAAACGATTGGGATTCATGGGTGTAATAGTTATTGAATCTTCTGTTGGAGGGACAGTCGTATTGTTTGAATTATAATTGTTGAAAAAATTTGTCCTTTCAGGTCTAGCATTTGTGGTTTGCTGCCACCTAGGTCTGTAATAATTAAATCCATTTGAATATGGTCTACGGCCGTAGTTGTTATTGTAGTATATACTAACGGAATTTGGGTGGTGATCCGTAAAAATGTTGTGAAGCATTACTATTGTCGATTCGTTTCAGAACGTCCGCATATGATGGCTTGTTGAAGTTGGGGGTTGTACTGCCATATCTTTCATTTATAGAAATCTCCGCATCTTTTATTTTTTCAAAGAGCTGCTGATAAGAGGATAGGTTTTCCGTATTTCCTAATAATGGACGGTATTTAGGGTGAACCGCTTGCACGATATTTTTTTATGGCATGATATTCATTTTTTCCCCCGAATAGTTGTAAAAGTTTAATTTGCCCATTCACATATTCCCTTAGCGAAGTGCTATCGTCTTGCAAAGCATACAGGGTGAATTGCTACTCGTGCTACAAACTTCTCCAGTAGATTCTTCACCCTAAAATGAACAAAAAAGTTCATATTGTCCATGGTCCGATTCTCAACCATTTCAGAGTAATTTCGCTTTTTATCGATTTTGAAAGATATCACGTCCTGGCGTCGGAAAATCGTGATATCTTTTAATCTAAACATTTCTCTGAAAATCTAATAGCACCGTTGAAATTCCCGTTAATTTTTCAATAAGAAGATGACGGTGGCAAAATGTTTGGGCTAATTTTTTGTGTTTTATTTCAGCCAGAACTACAAAAAGAGTGGAAAATTGTGTAAATCGGAAAGTGTATAAAGTAATCCAGAGTTTCTAATTTTAGTCTCAGAAGGCAGCAAATTTGAGGAAAACTACCTGATTT